AAAGAATTTCAGGAAGTAAGAGTGAGAACTGTGTGGATCCAAAAGTCTGATTTGATCAATTATGTGCCTGTTGAGTCCATGGAACAAGTTTCCAATAGGACTTCACCTTTAAATTATGTCTTATATAATTTAGTGATCATGGCTTTTGTTTAAAAGAAAATTTTGTGGCCATTGGATCATTTGTTAAGGTTTGGTTAGGGTTTGTTTTTCTGATCATAATCTTCTTGATATGCATGTGAAAATTCTTTTGAAGGATTTATGATCTATCTTTGAATGCAGATTGAGACACATGATAATTTGAATAAAAATAGATTTTTGGTCTGTAATCTATACAGTGAAAGATGATTTGCATTGTTTAGGAGATTTTTAGATTTGAATATCTTATGTTCATAGGCTTTTGTGCACTAGTCCATCTTTGACAAATTTGGTTGGAAATCTTTTAATCTGTTGACTAGGGTTTATTGTTCACAAAAGTTATAAAGGTTATTGTTTAAAAAAAAATATAGGAGCTCAAAACAAAATAAAAAGAAATATATTCAGTTTGAAAAAAAAAAGAAGAAAAAAATGCTGAATAAATTACTAAGGAGAAGGCTACCTATTGAGATTTGATCGAAAGCTCCTATTAAACTATGAATTGAAGCGAAAAGTGGAGATAAGTTGAGTTGGGGAATTGCTGACTACTCGTTAGAGTGAAAGCCACCTTGAAAAAAAATTACTCAAAACAATTTTATCTTGATGCTTCTCGATCAATAAGGTTTAGACAATGATCTGTTGAAATTCAACTGAAGATGGATTAGATCGGATTTTACACACACACATGAACTTGCTAGATTAATTTCTAAATTTTTCAGTAAAATTTGCAAGTTTGATTTCAAGTTATGATTACTTTCTGAGATTCGAAATTATTTGAAAAGTCTGTGGAGTCAAATATTTGTTCTATAAGATAATTTTAAAATTCTCTGAAAGGGTTTTGAATCGTGTGTTGATTGAATGATTTTAATAATTGGTGATTTTTTTTTCTCTCTTATTTTTATTAAAAGAAAAATATGAAAATTTTAAAAAAAATTCAAAAAGATTTTGATTTTTAGGTTTTTAGTTTGTTTTGTTGCTAGTTTTAATCACAGATGTGTTAAAATTTTCTGAAAATTCATTGGAACAGTTTTTTTAAAAAAAAACGACACTGTAGTTTCATGACTGGAGGTCTTGAACCGGTTCAATGAGGGATGAACCGGTTCAAGTTTCGTGAACTAAAATGCACTGCCCTTCTTGAATCGGTACAAGAAGGCTGAACCAGTTCAAGAGCATGGGATTTGGTTTTTAAAACAAGCTTCAGGCCTCATTTTTGCATACAATACTCCATCTCTCTTGCTTTCCTTCACTCCATATCAATACACAACTCACATATATATATATATCCATATGCATCATATCAATTTCTTGTCATTCATCCATGATATATAATTGATCATTACATAGTCTATATGAGATTAAAGACAATAATTGAAGATTGTGAGGGTTGAAAGTTGACAAATGGGTTTGGATGAGTTTTATGGAGTTTGGGATTAGAACTTAGAGGATTGGTTAATCTTTTGCGTTACTTGAAGAGATTGAAGCTTGATTGTACTTAGGGAATACCACCTTGCATTTGTTGGTTGATTTTAGGGTGAAGTGAAGATCAAAACAAGGTTTTCTACAAACACTTTTGGGGTTGCACACCAAGTGTTTGATAAAATTCCTAAAAGAGTTACAAGCTTCAAAGTGAGAATTTTTCTAAAGAACATACCTCATAAATTGTCTAGAGAAACTAAAGGAAAAGGAATTGAGTCATCTAGAACCGGCATCACCATTCAAGAATCTCAAGGCGGTTCTCTAACCCCAAGCATGGCTTCTATTCGATATCCTTCAGTTTCTAGCACTGGAAGGATTGAGTTTACAGCATCAAATTTTTACAATGAAAAAGCTTGGAAAGTGTATAACTCTGTTTACAAGGATGGGCCAATCAAAATAGAGAAAAATGTTAATCTTCAGAAGCTTCAAGACACTGCGGGAGAAGCTCTAGTGAACTACATCAAAGTTCATCATTGGCTTTATTTCACTAGACTTGGCAAAGGCGTTTATTGTAGGCGTTTACCTTTGACAGTTACAGGTCCTGATTTTTCCCGGATTATACCCAAGATCTGTGTGCCTAACTCCTCTGTGAACCAAGATACTTGCCCAGCTCGATTTCTGACCAATGAAGCTGCATTCTTCAATTTGTTTGCTATGGCAAATTTGAGCTACTTCGGGAAGAAGGATGAATTGACTTTGGAGAGAGCACTGTATTTTCTTGCCTACAATAAGAATATTTTGTTGGATCAATCTATTCTGTAGCTTATAATTGCTCATTATAAGAAAAATTCTCGTAAGTACTCGTCTCCCTATCCGATGATTATCATGGAAATTCTGCATAAGAAGAATGTGCCAATTCCTCTAAGGGCTAATCATAAGCCTATCATGACTGAATTGGATCCTCAAGCTTTGAACAAGTCAAAGACTGCTAGGGAGAATGCTAGAAAGACAAGGAGATCTGTTGATGAGGGATCATCACAAGTTTTAGATATTTCTCAGCTATTTTCTCCGAAAGGAATTTTCATGAAAGCTAATGCCAACCTCATGTATACCCATCTACTTCAGCATCAAAATTCATTATTTGAGAAGATGATGGTTGAGATCTGAGATCTCAAACTCCAGGTAGCTCAGATGAAAGGACAACCATCTAGGGTTCCAGAGAAGGATGTCTACAGGCCTGTGCCTCCAGATCCGTCTCTGTAAGCTGAAGATGAGGGAGATGATGAAGATAGAGCTGAGTATACAGATGAGGATGAGGAGGAGGAAGAGGATGGAGAAGAGAGTGGTGAAGACTAGAGATGATATTTTCTTATCTCTGAGTGGTTAAGGGGACATGGTGTTGCTTTTAATAATTAATTTTTCATGCATCATGACATCATGTTTTGTTTAATTATTGCACAACTTGTCTTTGTTTTTGGATATTCTCGGAATATGCTTTAATAGACTTTATTATGCTTATCCGAATTGTGTTTTAATTGACTTCTTTGAATTGGAATTTACTGTTCTAATATTCTTTTCCCTCATTTGTCAATTTGTTCCAAAAAGGGGGAGTCCACCGGGGGAGGACATAATTGGATATTTCCTTCAGGGGGAGTTTTTAAATTTTTATTTATTTATTAAACTTCACTGGTAGTTGTTGCTTGATAGTGTGCAGGAGACAGGTCAAGCTTTGAATCCAAGAAGAATAGTGTTCCTATTATCTTTAAACATATCATATAATTTACTTTTCTGCTTTGGGTAGATTGCAAAAATTGTTTTTAGGGTTTTGTCACGAAATTGCCAAAGGGGGAGATTGTGAGATATTATTTTTTTTGGCAATTATCGTAGACATAGCGAGTCCAAGTTGAGTTGTGATTTACATTACTTGTTCTACAAGTCATCAAGTTCAATAGGGATTCCACAACTGGGAAGGAGTTCAAACTTACTATACTTGAAAAGTTTTGTCATGACCCGAAAATTCTAAGCAAATCCTCAATTAATACAAATCCAAATACATTAAAATACACAAAAATTGCCCTCTTTTTATTCAAAGTCAATTTCCTCAAATATACAAAAATTCTCCAAATGAAAATTTTAAATCTCGCAACGCCAACTCTTCAGTCCTAAGCCCGTATCTAGCAATCCCCGTTCATCTTCGGTACCTGAAACTGGAGGGTGGTGAGACAAAAAGTCCCAGTAGAGGTTTAACAAAATAACTTCACAAAATAAACATATACAGGTTAACATAAACAAAATACATATGCATTTAATCAAAACATTGAATCAAAACCATTGAAGCAAAACCTCCCCATGCTATTCAAGGTATAGAGAACCCTACACTGAAAAAGAATTATCCTCACTGAATCATCAAAGCTTCAAGCTCCGGGACCTCCTCTGCAACTATCGAACCTCTCTGTCATCACCACTTTCTGTTTTTCTCTAATTTTTCTCTCTGTCAACTCTCTCGGCCCTCCATGCAACTCTCTAATTTTTTTCTTATGTTCAGCATAAGCACCAAGTCACAACCACCAAATATATAGGCAAATTATACCGAACTCAAAAAAAATCAACCAACAAACCCACCCACGTGAAGCATCAGATTTTCCTTTCTTTCCTATCTTTTCAATTCTTTTTATTTCATACCCACGTGAGAAGCCAATTAAGAAAATCAAGTTGTGGGACCCACGAATCCCTTTTCTTTTCTTTCTTCCTTTTCTATTTTTCTTTCCCTTCTGCCATCATATTTCCACTCCACAGCACACAATATATATTTAATATGCAAAAAATTGCCAAAACCAATAACCCTAATCGTGATCATACAGTCGTATTAGGTTAGAGTTAGAGTTGTAGTGTTCGATTCTTGATCGTGATCATACAGTCATATTAACATCGATCAGACAAAGCAGATCTTCTTCTACATTATTTAGACGATTGAAGAACAGAACTAAACGCAGTCACACTTTGGAAGGATTGGAGCATTTGTGGAATGTTGTTTGATCTACTTGCTACTCTTCTACAAATATCAAGTGTAAGCCTGAGATCAAGTTGCTGTTGGATGGGGAGTCGCAAAGCCAGAGAATCGTCAACGGTTGGTGTGGTGTAGAACGATAGGGTGTGAGCCAGTGTCAAACTTCGGTATACTTTGTTTCAAGTATAGTGGATTGGTTTACTTTGGACTGCACAAGTCCACGAGGTTTTTCCCATTACAGTTGACGTATTTTATCAACTGGGGTTTCCTCGCTAAAATCCTGGTGTCATCTCTAACTTTATACTTTGCTTTATTTTATTACATGCAATTAATCGTTTATCTGCTAAAATAAGTAAAGTTGGTAACGACACAGATTTATCTTTCAAAACTTAAAACTTTCTTCTATACATTCCGCTGCGTACAACTCACACAAACAATAAAGAACATGATGGAACCGGTCCTGGTAATACTTGACGTTGTTTGGGACGTACTTGATCTGAAGGCGGTTGGCATTCCTTTAGGGGATGATCATACGCGTTGTAAAGTTGTTTTAACCACTCGAAGTCAAGATGTTTGCACTCAAATGGGAGTTCAAAAGATTGTTGCCGTCGAGGAGTTGGATAAACAAGACGCATGGGACCTTTTTAAGGAGATGGCCGGTGGTGAAGCCGTTTATTCCGGTGATTTGAATCATATTGCAAGAGAGGTAGCAGATGAATGCGGTGGTGTGCCACTTGTCATTGTGACCATCGCTAGAGCGTTGAAAAATAAAAACCATTACGTGTGGACTGATGCGGCTCGACAGCAGAAGAACTCAAACACAAAATACATCCCCGGGCTGGGTAAAGACGTGTATCCCCAACTTGAGTTGAGTTTCAAGTATCTTGACAGCGAGGACGCCAAATATTTGTTCTTACTCTGTTGCTTGTTTCCACGAGATCGTAACATTCCGATAGAAGACTTGACGAGATACGTCATGGCGCTGAAGATGTTTGAAGGTGTCAGCACCATTGAAGAAGCAAGAGGTAGAGTCTATGCTGTGGTAAGTACCCTTGCTGATTCTTTTATGTTGTTAGATGGTTCTGAAGAAGGGTTCGATAAAATGCATCACGTTCTCCGCGATGTTGCAATATATATTTCGTCTAAACATGAGAAGTTCCGGTTTAAGGTTATGGCTGGAGTGAGAAATTGGCCAGACCCACAAACATTTGCAAATTATTTAGCCATCTCATTGATATCAAATAATATTTATGAGCTTCCTGGTGAGCTGCAAGCCCCAAACCTCCAGACCTTGAGACTGCAATGCAATTCTCAGTTGCAAATTCCAGATGATTTCTTCCAAGGATCGAAAGATCAATTAAAATGCTTAGAAATGAGCGGTATCCATTTCTTGCCAACACTTCCACCGTCACTTCAACTGCTCTCTAGCACCCTTCGAACCCTCCATCTAACTTCTTGCAAGTTAGGGGACATATCTATGATAGCAACACTGCGTAGACTTGAAATTCTCAGTTTTTGTGGTTCTGCACTTGCTGTGATTCCCCACAATATTGCCCAATTGACTCGTCTGAGACTCCTTGATTTGACGAACTGTGTAACACTTACCAAAATAGTACCAGGCGTCATAGGTGAACTTCGTAAATTAGAGGAGCTATACTTGCCAGAATTTTTTGAGTTCCACAATCTTGATGAGCTAAATTTCTTGTCTCGATTGACTCGCCTGCAAATTCGGATCGATCTTTTGGGTATAAATTTATATGGGTGCGTGCTCGGGTTAACAAGTTTCAACATAACAATTGGCACTCCAAAAAATTATACGACTCCCCAGTTTTACAAGCCTAATTTTTATGTATGCATGAGAAGCTTGAGGATTACCAATGATGGGCCAATACAGCCATCATTATTGCCAGATCGGATTAAGTTTCTGCTGTTAGAGAAGACTAAGAATCTAGTTTTGGACGAATTGAAGAATTTCAATAATATCTTCAGTGAACTAAACCAGGAAGGCCTCAATGAATTAATGTCTCTTGAACTCAATTTCCTTAAAGAGATGGTATATCTGGTCAACACAATGGAGTAGACACCGCGGGTGGCCTTTAGCAAGTTTTTGTCGATTTATAAGCTACACAGCTTAATTGAAATATGCCCTGGCCAACTCCCTGACAAATCTTTCTGCAATGTACGAGAACTACATGTGCGGTCCTGTGACGACATGCTGAAGCTGGTTTCATCCAGTTTGCTAGGGAGGCTAAAAAATCTTGAGAAGCTCGTGGTCATGAATTGTGAAAAGCTGGTACATGTTTTTGAAGAGCATGCAGTTGAAGATCATGTTTTTGAAGAGTATGCAGTTGAAGAAGTGTTGCTCTCAAAGCTGAAAGAAATTTTTCTAGATTGTTTGAACAATATAACACATATATGGAAGGACGGCCCCCATCAATTTATTAGCCTTTGGAACCTTGAGATGCTCCATGTGCGTCATTGTACCAAGTTAACAAAGTTATTCTCTCCAGAGTTACTACAAGGTCTTGTTCGCCTGAAAAACCTGTTTTTCATTTGGATAGTTTGGAAGTATTATTTGGAAATGATGAAGAGCAAGATACGGAGATAGTAGTCCCTGGTTTGAGAAGCTATCTCCCTTGTTTGAGAAGCCTCATCCGTGTAAGCGTGTTTGGTTGCAAAAATTTAAGATGCCTTTTCTCAACCTCCATCGTTCAAGGTGATCTTGAGAAACTCGAATGTTTGGAAGTAATCAGCTGCAACAAATTGCAAAATATAATTGAGGATAAGAAAGGAAAACATGAAGCGGCTTTAGTTGAGTTCTCCTGCTTGTCCTCGATATCACTTATCCATCTGATCAAGCTGAAGAGTTTCTGCACGGGGCATTATACTATTGAATGGCCATCTTTGGAAAGGCTGGTTATCCAATATTGTTCCGAGATGGAGACTTTTGGTTATGGAGACCAAGTAACACCCCAACTGAAGAAAATAGTGAAACATGAATCTGAGGGGCAAGAGATTGTGATCACGATCAATGGTGACGACCTTAATCACGTTGTGCAAAACCACTTTGGACCCAAGGTATGTATCTTTGAGCATATACATAATGGTCATGCATGGACTGTATAGATTATATCCTATTTATTAATTACAATGATAAAGAAAGTATATATTTCTTTGTGTTACTCACAGTTGGATGATTTTTCAGGCATCAGCTTCGGAGGCAGGTCCTAGTCACTCTTCTCCGTAAGGCATGACCCACTTAAGACTCCATTACTATGCGATCAGGTTTGTAAGATGAATTATTATAAGCGACTAGAAGAAGTCTAGAATATAAATAATCACTGATAAAAAAATTTCTTCTTCCTTGTATTGTTTGAAACGTAGGAGCTCGGTGATGGTTCCCAGGAGGATGATTTCCAACTACCTCTTTCTGCAAGCTGCAAAAATGGAGAAATAAAAATGGTGTGTTTTTTTTTTTTTCAGTTCTTGGTTATTAAAATAAAAATATTTCATCTCCAACATGCATGTGTGCTTTTTTCATCATTTTCATGTATTGTAATCCTTTGGTGTGTTTTATTATATTTGTGATTGTGTTTATTTGTGTAAACCAGTATCGTATCTGGGTGGAATTTTTTATGTATAAATTTGTAAGTTGTTATGGTCGAGAATAGTGAGGCTTTGATCCTTTTAATAGGTTAACATACACGTTGTGTTGGGCCTGCTATACTGGCCCGAATTTATTCTGGGTCATACTACAGAAAAATTGGATTGGGCTTCCCGATCCATGCTGAAGTTTAGATTATCTAAACCAACACAATCATGATTAAACACGTCATTCACACCGAAATTAGATTAGAGCCCAAGAGTTCACTCTCTAAATTGAGGATTATAACCATGATTCTTATTATTGTCAAACTTTGGTTGTGGCTCTAGTTATATAATTTTATCTTATTGATATTCTTTTGGACACGTACTATTTATTGGAGTCGCCCAAAAATAAATTTAAATATTATATTATAATATTTTCTGTGACATGCACACTCTTTCTCTTATACATGTATATATGTACAGAAGATCGAAATGACATTGATAATCTAAGAAAAACCTGAGACATGCACCACTCCACTTATGATGATTTATCTTATGCTATCTGAATGCAACTTCTTATGTATATGTATAATTTTTTTTTTTTAGAAGAAGTCTGACCTAAAGATGAGAATGCATGTTATATGACTATTTAAGATATGTGTCTCTTAGTCGATTGTTGAATCTTAACAATTATGACATTATTTAAAAATATATATATATAAAAAGTGAAACAAAGGTCTCCTAGTGTAATTATATGTTCCTCGATGCAAAATTATTATAAACATTTTCAAATTAAACAAAAGTTTATTCTAAGAGCTAGCCGTACTTTTGAATTACAAAGGGAATAAGGATAAGTGGTCATCTCTGATAGCCGATATAGATAGGGAGGATGAATTAAACGCATTAAAATCTGATTTTATTTTTTTCTGGAAAAGTTAAGAAATGTATAAAAAAAAAAATGTATATGGTCCCAAGAGTATAAAAACTTGGGGAGGGAAAACTAGCCCAAGCATAAATAGGCATTAGTTGAAAGAGCAGCCCAAAAAGATAGAGGCCCAACAATGTCCAAAATGGCAGACTACTGTAACTGAATGTTATACCAAACAGAAGGAGGCCCAATAATAAGGTTAAAATTCTAGCTCTTTTAGAGTAGTGTCTCACTGGCTCACCCTAGGAAGGAGGCCTTCTTCGGCCTCCACCTAAGCTGCGCAAGAAAGGCCCAAACCCAATCCCGTGGAACAATAAGGCTTCATAGAGTCTTTTTGTCCAAGTGCAAGTAGTCTGCATCTTCACATCTTCACAGACATGTCTAATTGTCTATTTTACCGAGCCTCTTTTCTAGACCGTGACAAGATCGTTACGTTTTTCGTACGGGTCGAAATTTACCCGACAAGTGTATACTATATATGTAAAAAAAAAATTGAAATGAAATTGATAATTCAATAAATACCAACACATGCACCACTCCACTTCTGGTGATTAATATCTCTATATTAGCACACATGAAGGGATGACTCTCTTTATTCTAAATAGCTATCTTGGATCTGAAAGTTTTTACATTGTCCAGCTCTTGAAACACACATATTGACAAGGGCTCAGTCTTTTGATTTTTATTTTAGTGTACGAATTGACCTTCTAACATTGTATGAAGTCAATGAACTAAATAAATAAAGAAAAGGGTAATGAAAAAAATGCCCTATTATATATAGAATATGCAAAAACTCTCCTATTTTTTCTTTTTTTTTTAGAAGTTAAAGAGTAATATTTTAATTTGATATGCTACTTAATTGAATTGATGATGCATGCTAATTCCAATGTCAAAAGGAACTTAACATAGTTTTTATTCCCATTATATGT